GTGCTGCTGTTATGTACGCAGTAATATAGTTTGGTTTAAGTACCTTGTGTGTCTATGAATGAGCGAGGTGGGTGAAGAAATGCCTCCAAATGTTCCCTCTCAGCTTCAGAGACTCCTCCCCTCCCCCTTCATCACACACAATACATCAAACCATGCATTTATGCCAAGCAATTGAATTCGTATTGGATATAAATCTGAGCAGTGACAAATGAGGCCGCTGTCTGCGTCTTCGCCTTATAAACTGACATGCATCTCTCATGACTGATCCCTTTAATTAGCATAGCGGTCTGAGAGATGCATGGCTCTGTCTCTCACCTCTGCAGACAGACACTTAGGGGAGATGCACAATGAGGAGCATTATATCCAAGTTAACTGGGATCGCAAGGCACTTTCAGACCTTTTAAACAGAAGATTATGAAAATAATTGAATACAATTAGAGCCATTTTAAAAGAAGAATAATGAATTTGAAAATGTGCGTTTCTTTTTATATTCAGTGCCTATTTATGAACAAGTAACATTGAGTAAAATACTGAGAAAACAACCAAATGTGCTTAATACAAACACTTTCAATGTATTAATTCACTGCATTTTAACACGTGTGCAATACTTTTAGGTAAGGGCAAGCAATGGAAAGACTTGAGGACATGCATCCCACTAAACGGAAACAGAGCTGGAAGAATTGGAGTGTTTCAGTCCATCTCCAGGGTTCAACTTAGGCCCCGGCCACACGAGGACGAAAACGGTTGTTTGCGTTACTGTTTAGTGTCATATAGACCGTTGGGCCACACGAGGACGACCGAATACGGCACTAAACGACTGCGGAAACGATAACGGGTCCCAAGGTGGATAGAACGGCATATGCAACGCTCTGGGGGGTCAAACGGCTCCGTGTGTACGCCCTATACGATCATTTTCTGATAATGATGAGGCAATAGCCCCGCCTCTGCTGCTCACCCCCGCGTCAAAGTAAACTGCACACTGAATTCAGATTATTTTTCTTTCTCTCGATATGGACATAAACGCGAGTGAAGTCTGATCTGACAGGACGGAGACACCTCTCAAACTACCTAAACTAGTTATAAATATGTTTATTTTTACTGTCGGCCGGGTCACTCATTACTGGATCAGCTGCTGCATGAAACAGACACTGACGCTGTCTGAAGAGAGGGAGGAAAAAGAGAGGCTCCGTGTATTTTATTATTATATTATATAGAGTCGTTATTCATTTGTTTTAAAGCTCAATAAATAACAAAGAAGACCTTTGACCGGCACTTTTATAATTTTGTCCGGAAGATTTAAACTTTAATACACGTTGACTGGCGAAAAACTCTGCCCGGTTCCCTCGGCCCCCACCGCGGAGAATAAACAGAAGGGCAACCATGACAACCATGCTTCTTCGCTGCTTTTGTGGAGGAAGTTACAGCGCCACGTACAGGCTCCTGCATATGTACTGCAGCTTCTCCAGCGGTTGGAGCTAAACGGAGCTGTCTCGTGTGGACAGACACTATCCGGTGAATATTGCGTGTGGACGGAAGCTTTTTTTTTTTTTTTTTTTTTTTTTAAAATTGCGTTTGCGTTAATCCTATGCGTTTAGCCGTTTTCGTCCTTGTGTGGCCGGGGCCTTACTTTAGGCAATACGCTCCTCTGGGCAGAGGAGATTCTTCCAGACTAACTGCAAGCTTTGGATACTTAAGAGCTAGTTGACACTTCTCTTTGCCCTTAGACTTGTAGGCTACATTGGATGTTGACCCTAATGTGCACTGAAGCCGTTTGCATCTGAGAGTCAGGAGGCACGTGTTGGATTAAAGTAATTATCAGACAAGAATAAGCAAGTTAAAAAGGTGTTTACTGACCGTAGGGGTCAAACGAATGAAACACTAAAAGTCCCTCTATTTCAAGGCCTCACCTGTTTTTCTTCATCATTAAGCACTGCTCAGTCGTGCCATTATATCATATATATTCTTTTCATCTCAAGTCGGCGTCAATTGTATGCACAACTTTGAGGACATATCCTTTGATGTACAGTTTCAGTATTACAGTGAGAGTGAGATTATTAGCAAATGAAGAGATCATGGATTCACAAATCTATCCACAAGGCGAGAAAAAGCTCCATTCAAAGCACCGTAATTATTGTATTTTGTATTCAAAGGAGTGTCGAGCTTTAAAGCTGGCTTTAATGTATTTTTTTATAATGAACAAAAAAATACCAGAGTTTCTGCAAGGCGTAGCGTTTAGAGCCAAATCAGATTCATAGTAATCTAATTGTTGTTTCTCAAAAAATATCAAACTTAGATTATGATATTTTTGTGAGCCCAAACATTTTTAGAATTAACATTTCAATAGTTCAAATAAGTAGATGGAGAATGGGGATGGATGGAGGGTCATTTTCAGGTTCATATTTTGTGCCTCTACTGTGAAATGTCTCCATTCTTAAATGTTCAAAACGGTCTTTATTTTTCTCATACAGACTGTGCTGAAGCACCCGTTTTAACCCTCTTAACGTTGGGATTTTAGCCTTACACCACAGAAAAGGGAAAACCCCAAAAAGCAGAATAGCGTCAATTTATTTTTCCTGGTTGCACGTATTTGGTTAATTTAAATTTGAGGACCATGTGCAAGTTGCTGTAATGTCAGATAAACTATAAGCAAACATCTATGACTTGCACCAAAAAGTGACATGTGTGTTGAAGCACCACAGGTACACTTCTTTAAAATGGACTTGTGTTTTAGCAGTGTTACATTTGAGGTCTTCAGATGGAGGCAGAGGTAAGTCTGAGTTAAACAGAAGGTTACACAAGTAAAATCTCTGCCTCTCAGCCTTACTTTGCCTCCGACTCCCCTCCCTAATCCTCCTCTCTCTTCCCACCTATCTCTTCCTTGAACATGCAGGATATACACCCGATGCTCCTCTCATTTGCACAGGCCTTCACAGGGCCAATCGCAGCCTGACATTTTGTCTCACAGTTCACTGCATACTATTCCCAAAGGGATCTATTAAGTTATGGTACTCAGTGAGCCAAGGAAAAGGAGAGCAGAGCTTCCGAGTGGATTAGTTAATCAATAATATGGGGAAGGATTAAAATAGATGCATTCATACGCTGATATAGAACAGGGGCGGGAGCCATCTGGCTTTCACCATTCCCTGAGGTATCGATCACCGCAAATGGTGGGCGGACACTTTTTCCAGGGTAATTGTGGCAAGGCTGAGCTTTGGTATTTATACCAGTCCACTTTAAAAACAACCATTTGTCTATGTCTCACTGAAATTCATGCTTGAAAGATGTTAGAGACATCTAGAGAACATTATTGTGGTAGTTCTCATCTACAGTTATTTCTGTCTGACTGTATGGCCCCTGGGGCACAATGACCCCGGAGCAATTTCTTTCTTTGTCGTCATGCAAATTACACTATCTTTTCATTCTCAGCGGAGCAAAAGAGGAACTAAGCTCATTATCATGCAACTTTGCTGCATAACTGCACCACTGAACTCCTTTCACCACGGTGAACATCTTACTGAACCTGTTCTGCTCACCTGGAGATACTACAGTCCCAGAAACCCCAGAGGGACGCTAAACTGCGGCTCGATGGGAGTTACAAAGACATACGGATGATCAAATTATATGTAACACAGGCGAGGAGTAATCGCAATCCTGAGCTAGGGGGCATTCTTCATTTTGCAATTATATTTCATTGGCAAGTGGAAATGGAAGCCAGAGTCCAGGAGTTTCAATCCTAACAAATATAAGGAATAAAACATTATGAGGTGGGAGGTGACAGTAGAACAGAAGTATATAAGGACAATAAAACAATGTAAAGATCTATTTTATTGGACATCTTTACCCTTTTTATTCAACCTTCTGATTAAAGGACAACCACACCACTTCACAGCCACAAACAGATCTAAAAATAGTCCATGATAGCACAAAATGTTCCATTGCAAAATAACATTTAATGTTTAGATGTCAGAATCAAAGAGCGAGAAATTAGTCTGAATCATCATTTAAAAATAATACTGGGGAAGAAGTAGGGTACAATACTCTGATTGGTGATTGGAGATGCAGGAAAATGCAAGGTATGGATAACAAGAGTCTTTACAGTATCTGTATAGACCCCATCACTTTACTTAACTGGAAATAATGTTAGACTCTCAAGCGGTATGTAAAAAGTGAAAATATCCCAACAATGATTTCCATGTATTAGATTGATCAAACCTACATCTGTTATTGGATGCCTTCTTTCTCTTTACTACAATTTTCAAGTATATCCATTCTTCTATCTCGATCCAGCCTCCTCTTTCTGTCTAATTTTAAAGCATCTACAAATATTAGTATGCTAATGCCTTCTTTTGTATGCTGCTCTAATTAGGGCTGGTAGTGTGACAAAGGCTAGCTAACAAGCCATACAGTGTTCTGGGTAGGCAAGGGAGCGAGTAAAACAATCCATTAACACTGCGACTCAACGCGAGTATGTCCCAGTAGTGTGTGTAAAACAAAGACCTGCCGTAAGAGGACCTCCCAACGGGATAACAGGTAAGTTAATTAGTCATGCATCAGCATCTCCCTGGCCAGATTTGGTCGCTCTTTGGACAGGACATTTTGCAACATTACCGTTTGCACTGTGAATGGAGAAAGCCTTCGGGAGCTGCGACCTGATGTTTGAACATTAAAACCAACGGTGGCAGCTTCCTGCATGTTTTATTTCCAGACTGAACCCAGAGGAAACGACTGAAACTTTGTTACTGTCAAGAATTTTCTTCATTTATCCTCTCAGAAAGTATGGTTTTACAGCAGGCCCTTAGGCAATTGTATTTTTATTTACTTTTTCATTTGTGATAAAATATCCATGCTATTCACCAAAGGCCTACTGGCCTCCAGTTTAGATGAAATTAGAAATCTATAATTCAGTTCACACTTCAGAAAGTGTGCCCAGCAGAGTAAATGTTTGGGGAGGGAAAGAGAAACACACACACCAACACACACACTCAAAAAAATGATTCAAGCCCTTCTTAGACTTGACACATTAAAAATGGTTTCACTTTACTTAAATATTTTTATTTAAGAAATAAACCTAAGTATAGTTCATTAGTGTAACACAAATTACATTAATCAATTCACTTATTAAATGTATTTAAGACAGAGCAACTCAAAATGAATTGTTTTCATTGGGGACCGCCCCTTTGCACACCCCCTTTGCCTATGCGCAACATCCGTTCTGTCATTTGCCGCCTTTTGTCTAACACTGACTGGAAACTGACTGGGGAAACTGACGGTGGAAAGTCTATTATTTGGTAAGTATTTGTTTTTTCTAGTAGTTTAGAATGTTCCCTGTTTCCAAGTAATGCCTTTTCATAATATCGACAAGAATATTTGAAACCACCGTGTTATATTTTGCTCCGTTTTTAGTTGGGTCTAAACAGCAAGCTAGCTAGCTTGCTAGATATGGTTAGCATTGAATACTGGATAGTAGAGATCATTAGATTATATTACATTAGATTTAACGTTATTGTCATTGAACACAGTACACCGAAATTCAGTTTAAGTTCAACCAAAAAATGCAACGAGTAATTAAAGTGCATGAGGCAAGCTAGCTAGCCAAATAACTGGTTTGTTAGCTAGCTTGCTAGATACGGTTAGCATTGGATACTGGATAATGGAGATCATTAGATTATATTACATTCGATTTAATGTTATTGTCATTGAACACAGTACACCGAAATTCAGTTTAAATTCAACCAAAAAATGCAAAGAGTAATTAAAGTGCATGAGGCAAGCTAGCTAGCCAAATAACTGGTTTGTTAGCTAGCTTGCTAGATACGGTTAGCATTGGATACTGGATAATGGAGATCATTAGATTATATTACATTCGATTTAACGTTATTGTCATTGAACACAGTACACCGAAATTCAGTTTAAATTCAACCAAAAAATGCAAAGAGTAATTCAAGTGAATGAGGTAACAGTATATGAGGCAGAGCCTGCATGCAGCCCAGCAAGGGCTGCCATTTTCTATCATAAAGCTCAGCAGGTGTGTCCATCTCTCTCCTGGCCTTAGTGCAGGCAGGCAGAGGAGGACAGGCGGAGCCACTCGTTTCTGTAGGAGTTCAGTTGAGTTGAGTTTTTTACTGCCAAATATTTAATATAAATAATGAGATAATATATATGTGAATCTTGTATGGGTTACTTCACTCACAAGCAGGCACCCAGAGTTGTGCAGAAACGTTTTTTGGGTTGTGCAATCTTAGGCAATTATGTGTTTTCTGTGAAAATTCAAATATATAAGCATTTTAATCACACCTCTAAAATATATTTGTTGTCTTTTGCAGTTTGATCAGCATTAACAAGCACCTTGGGGAAACCTCTTATTTATGGTAAGTACACGGCTACTTTCACAATACTTGCACAAGCTGATCTGTGACATTGTCAGTTGTTCAGTGTCAATTGCTAATTCTATTTATTCTCTTTTTCAGGTTATGCATGTGGCAGTGCAAACACTGCAGTTTGGAACTAGCTAGCAGGTATTTGTTGTTAAAACATTTCCAGCAGACACATGCACATTTAAGGGGCAGTTAAACTGTAAAAACATTTTTATGTTCATCTTTGATATAATCCTAATGTGTTTCTTTCTTGTTATTGTTTCACCTTGTTTCTGCTCTAGATTAAAAGGTGTTCCATAACGGCAGGTCGGGCGCTTCTGCGCATCATCTTTGCCGACCAGTCTGACTCTAGAAAACTGACCCTGGATTCGGGAATCCCAGCAACAGTTGAAGAACTGCACACATTTGTCAAGACATCTCTTCAATTGAAAGAGGACTTCCGTCTGCAATACATGGATGTTGACTTTAACGAGTTCATGAATCTTACATCAGTGTCTGAAATTCAGGATAAAAGCACACTGAAAGTAATTTACTCTCCTATATTGTCAAATATTGAGCCCTCCATCACTTAGTACACAGTTGACTCATTTGATAAGACCTCAATTACTGGAAGCTCAGAGTCTCTAATCCCTGCATCATCAATAGCCTCATTCTGCAGTGATGATATGGTGTATACGTCAACCCCGCATCCATCCCCTGAAGCTCAGGCCTCACAATTGTTATCCTGGCCCACAGTTTTTGTGGTTCCTAAGCTCACCTACGAGGCTGAATTTGAGCTTCATCTACAGAATGCAGAGTTTGAGACAACTGGTACATACTTCCAGCCTGGCCTAAAGCTGAAAGGAGTCATTCTTGATGGCCTAGCCCAAGAAATGATCAAATTCACAAAATATCCAAAAGACTATCAGTGTGAAGAGGTAGCTGCAGCGTTGACGAGGGCCCACCCTTGTTTGGGGCAGCTAGGATCCAAGATAGGATTTGGGGGGTGGAAACAGTCTCTTAAGTACAAAATGCAAAACTATCGTACAAAGCTTGGCCGTCTTGGACATCCTGAAATCCTTGTGAACTCCTTAAAGCACAAGAAAACAGGCCAAGGCAAAGCTGCAGCAAACATAAAAAAACCAAGAAAAGCTGAAGTAAACTACATTCCTCTGCACCCAAAAGGCGAAACCACAGAAAGCTTGGAGAACGAGAGAATTGCCTTATTGTCAGAACTGAAAAAGCGTGACAATGAAGTGGTGATAAAAGCAAAAATGGAAAAAACCTTCTCTCACAGACGCCTTGAGATTGTGGAGCAAAGGCCTTTGATAGGGGACTTCAAATGCAGATGGCCTGCTCTGTTTCAGCAGAGTGAAGTAAGTAAATATTTGTATTTGTTGACAGTCTTTTATTATTATCCTTTGTGATTCATGTCTACATCCTTGCATGGTTGTGATTCTAATAAACAAGTAACAATTGGTTGTATTGTGCTTGTTAATAATATTTTTAAGGTGAATGCGGAGTTTTTGAGGATCACAACATCACCACTTCAATCAAAGTTCATGTGGCAGCTGGACCACTTCTCAGACAAGCTCTTGAAGATCTTCAAGATCAAAGGAGGACTAAAGGGCCACAAAATCAAGGAAGCCCGTGCAATATCAGATTTGGTTAGTATAAATGCAGAGAACCTCGTTTTTCACTGTATTGTTTTTGTCCATGCTCATATGAACACATTTAAGAAATTGTCTGCTTTTATAGTGTTTTTAAGGCAATAGCTTATTGTGGAAATGTAGGGGTAAGGAGTCCTGCTTAGGGAAACACACGACAGATACAGCCCTCTACTTTGTAGACCTGCTCTGTTGCACATGCATTGTGCTTAATTGTCTTTGATTTATCGCCCCTGCTTTAGTTTGAAAACATCCACATCAAGAGGGGGTGCATCCTGCGAAGCATCGCGATCTACCTCAACGAGGATCCAGACTCTTTTTTTAAGGAGTATCAGGTATGTTTATCACAATATGTTTTCAATGTAGTGGTTAACAGTGTTACCCACAATTATAACCACCATTACTTACATTGATAATAAGAAAATTCTATGGCGCACAACCCTATCCCTGCTTACATCTAAATATCTTATCACATATCATAAATACATGCAGAAATAAATAAATGTATACATTAATATAGGAATGAATATATGTAAGAATGAATAAATACAGAAATAAAAAAATAATAATAAATAGATACAGAAGTAATTTCATCGGGCAAGTGTTAAAATAAATATAGAAAAAAGTGAATTAATACATTTATACAGATATAAATACATCTATAAATTAACATAGGAATACAATTGATAAATACAAATGTGAATTAAAACATGAATATATCTGGAAATAAATACAAATAATAAATGAATGCTGAAATAAATATTTACATTTATATATAAATACATCTATAAATGAATAAATAAATATGGACATGAATACATATGTAAGAACTTATAAATAATTGAATAAATACATAAATAAAATAATAAATAAATGCTGAAATACAGAAATATATTAATCAATAGATTCATGTTTAAAAAGGTATGTGAATGCAGCAATTACTAAATTGTTAAAGGAATAATTACATAATCACATAACAAGGAAATAAATTATTAAATAATAAATAATCAAATACATATCAAAATAAGTAGGTAAATGCATAATTAACTACAGGAATAACAACAAATTACATGATTAAGTAGGGATGTAAACAAATAACTTAATACCTGAATTAATAAATAAGATAAAGTTGATAATCAAACAGAACATACAGGAATATATCTTTATAACTTATTTATGTAAACATTTTCTTACAAGCTTAATTTAGTTCTGTGTTGGAGGTCCTAACCTTCTCTGGTATCACTCGGACATTTTTGTCCAAATTGGTAATTTTTCACATCAGATTTGGCTATAATGATTTTGTGTTTTTTCTAGATACTTTTTGGAATTTCAATTTTTCTAATCGGTCTCGAATACACTGTGTACAAATTACCCTAATTGTCCATTTAAAAAATGTCCCCACACTTCCCAAAAAGTGTGGGGGAAAAATATTTAAATATAATATTGTTATCATATCATTTTATCATTCAAGTTTTTGAAAGTGGACATTTTTATCCTGAGTGGCCAGATTGGGTAGTACATTTGAGTGATACCAGAGGGTTAGTCTAAAACTGTTTTGATCAATGAGGAGAGCCACATAAGTAAATCTGCTTCTATAAAATGTAGTAATTCAGGTTTTAGTTAACACATGTGTTGTATGCTTGTGTCTTTGTTCAGGCCTCTGCCTCTGAAGATGCCAAGAGGGACATGGCAAACACAGTCATGGGCATATACACACTTCAAAGAGATGTGGATGGGCAGCCAGAGGACGTGGGAATTGTCATCGAAGGCAATATAGTCATGGACAACTTGGGCAGCGTGATTGTGGGGTCATGCTATTGGGACTTATTTATGCCCTGGATTTGAGCTTTCCGGACAACCTCAAACACACCTTCGAGTTCATGCAGAAGGTAGTGATGAATCTGGATGGGCACAAGCTGAATGGTAAAATCGAAAGTCTGAAGATCAAGTTGTTCGATTGAAATGTGAAAAAGAAGTGACTCATGAGTTCATTGTTGTCATTTTATTCACGAGTTTCCTAGTCAGAGCAGATTGAGCCGTTATACCAATCATTTGTGCTTTTCTGTATTTGTTTGTTTCAACACACTGTAACACTATTTCCATATGTTGGTGTTTGCAGTGCACTCTTCATGTTATGTGTTATTGTCCTGTTAGAAGAGCAGTGCATACCCCTGTTATATTGTATTCATTGTATTTGGCAAAGGGAGATTTGTAAGTTAATTATAGGAGTTCCATTTCTCTGCCATTTTAAAAATGGTATTATCTTTCAGAAATGTTTTTCATCTTTCAGTGTGAATTCATTCATTTTTAAACACTATTGAATGGAGGATTGTTTTGAATAATGTGAATTTAAAAATAAAAAAAACTAAACCATGTTTTCTATCATGTGTAACACATTTTTATTAAATTATATTTAACCTCATTATTTCATTTTCAATTAATTAAATAGGATTTAGGTGGACTAGCATTATCTAAATTCATAAAGGTAATGTTATCATTTTACTTAAACTCTATTTGAAAAATTTGAGTTGGACTAACTCATTTACATTATACTGCATGGATGCCATTAGTTTGAGTTTGTGCCACATATATTTATTGGATGGAAAACCTGCCAACAATAAAATTGAGTTAATCCAATGAGTTATTTCTTTGAGTGCATAGAGCTGAAGAGAACAAGTCAGGGAGGGAGAAAAAGGGAGATTTAACTTCCTCAGCGGATCACACTGCTCATGGCACAGTAAAGTCTCCTGAACAAAACCTTGAATAATGAACTATATGTGCATAAAGATATGTTCCCGTTTTCTTTTATTATTCATATGAAAAATGCAAGTAGGCTGCAAATACAAAACAAAACCAGACTGGAGTCAACCCTCTGTTTGACGAGAGCCAGGAGAAGAGTTCAATGGTGGTTGACACATCTCTCTATAATTGCTTATAGGAAACTGTATGATCCTTTCCTCATCATCCAACTTTTTCCACAAGCCACTGTCAGCTGATGTAGTCACTTCAAATATCCAACTTAGTGGGATGTTATTGAATTTTTTTTGGGCGGGCTGGAATAGATATTGCTCCAGAGTGTTTCAGCAACACTCAGACCAATATCATCAGATATTAAACACGGGAAGAGATCACTCCCTTTGAAGAACGGGAGCAGGAGAATGAACAAAGGCAGGAGAACACAAGATCTATTATCTCATATGTTTACAGCAAGAAGAAAAAAAAGTCTCGGGGTGTGAGGCATTTTATCCAGATTCACACACACACACACACACACACACACACACACACACACACACATTATCTTTTCATTGCATTCTGCTTTGTCCAGTTTAGTAGCAGATGCTTCATTGCCTGACAAAAATAAACGGGCTATATTCCATGGAAAGTGTCAGATTATAAATAACACAACAACATAGGTGGTCAAATTGAAATCTGGTGAAACTTAACAGCGCATGAAAGGAAGGTCAGAGGGAATCAATGAGGGCTTTTCACAGAAAAACAATAACCAGTGTAGCAGAGTAACTGCTGAAGGCCAGACATGTGTGAAGAGGGTTGTTTCTAAGGATTGACTCACTACTGCATAGACAGTGTGACACACGATGCCACACTTCAGTCATGAACAAGGTTAGAATTCAATTTGGCTTTGCCTACAGCTGATGCAACCCATGTGAACCCATTTCAGGAACATCACGGAGTAATAACCTTTATCCTGGTAATATCTGTCACGTATCATTTCAAAACCTCTCTGGTTATTCTGACAGGGAACATGAAATATCTTTTTCTCTCGTCATGTGTGAGACAGATGGATTTTTCCTCCCGTCACGCTCTGATTCAAGACAGAGCGGAGAACATTGAGAGATGTGCTGGAGGAGGAGCGCTGCTTTATGTCGGTGGAGAAATTCATCCTGTTAACGTGACGTGTTGAGAAAACAGCTGAGGAATTAAGATACCACAGTGTCAAATGCTTGTTTGTTGTCTAATGCTGTACTATAGTGCTGTTATTTTAACTCAGTCAAATAAAAAAAAGGCATTATTTTGTTGCGTGTCTGACTCAAAATTGTCCGCATTTTGTACCGTTCAAGTCTCAGTGATGGAGGATATTGCTCAGATTAACAACGCTTTTTTTCCGAGTATGGCTTTAGAAATGACAGTAGTATGTAATTGAAGTTGAATTTAACAGGTTTTCTTTAGATCAAATGTTATAATGTCTTTACAAACTCTTGGCTATAATTGCTTTGCTTTGTTTTTCACAGAAAATATCTTAAAGATCAGGCAAGATATCAATTCCGAGTCTTGACCCTATGTTCCCGTTGCAAGGACAAATAATTAACCAAGCAAACATGTCAGAGTTTGTTCCAGTCAGCCATAAAACACTAGAAGACGATATATTCCATCTAAAAACAACTACATGTAGTCTTGATAGTCTTCCGACAAACTTTTTGAAAAGCACTAAACAGCTAGGACCGAAATATATCAAGGACCTCCTTCAGCGGTACGAACCCAGCAGACCCCTTAGGTCTTCAGGCGCAGGCCAGCTCACTGTTCCATTTGTGAGATCAAAGCGTGGGGAAGCAGCCTTCTGCATCTATGCTCCTAATGCATGGAACAAACTCCCAGAACATCTGAGAATGGCTAGCACTTTAGAATCATTTAAATCAGGTCTAAAAACAACGTGGCTTTTTAAATTTAAATGTTCTAATTTTCGAACTGTTAAAACATGGTTTTCCTTTATTTATTTTTTAGTGTTTTGTGTGTTTTTGTATTTCCTCTCACTTTGACCATTGTAAAAATGTATTGTGTTTTATCTGTTTGATCCTGTAAAGCACTTTGAATTGCATCACTGTATGAATTGTGCTATACAAATAAATTGCCTTGCCTTGCTAGGTCTTGTAAACTATCTTTTATAGATATATAAAAGAGAAAGAAAAGAAAGACAAATATATGAATGCTGCATAAACGACAGCATCAGTTATCACTGATAGACTGCAAACTCGTTCTCGATATGACATCTAAAATAAACTATTTAAAGTGTTCTGTTCCTAGAATACATTCTATATTTTTCGACAGATCTGTGAAAAAGCTCTTGAATTATTCAGTCTTAAAACTTTGCATTTTTATTGTTATACAGATTCAATTATGTATTGTGTTTCACTGACTTCCCTTTTGAATTGATCTGCCCTCTCCAACAGCACATCAGCACAAAGTCTTTCACAGGATTTCATGATTCTCAATACATTGCCAGGAAATACTGTGTATAAAAGAGGTCATAGATAACCATGCAGCATTTTCAGATGAAATGATTATACCGCACATCCAGTTGAAGTGTTTTTGTGCATCCTGATGAACGACTTATGCACAAGGCAAGGCAAGGCAAGGCAAGTTTATTTATATAGCACTTTTCAACACAAGGCAATTCAAAGTGCTTTACAAAAAATGAAAGACATTAAGAAAAAGGCATTTAAAATCAGTCATTAAAAAGAAAAGCTAATAAAATAAACATTAAAAGAAAAAATACATGGATAAAAGTTTCAGTGCAGTCTAAGATATGAATAGTTCAATTAAACATTAAAAGAAAAAATACATGGATAAAAGTTACAGTGCAGTCTAAGATATGAATAGTTCAATTAAACATTAAAAGAAAAAATACATGGATAAAAGTTACAGTGCAGTCTAAGATATGAATAGTTCAATTAAACATTAAAAGAAAAAACACATGGATAAAAGTTACAGTGCAGTCTAAGATATGAATAGTTCAATTAAAAGCAGCGACAAAAAGAAAAGTCTTCAGCCTGGATTTAAAAGTAGTCAGAGTTGCAGCGGACCTGCAGGTTTCTGGGAGTTTGTTCCAGATATTTGGAGCATAATAACTAAACGCTGCTTTACCATGTTTAGTTCTGACTCTGGGGACAGAAAGCTGACCAGTCCCTGAAGACCTGAGAGATCTGGATGGTTCATAATTTAGCAGGAGGTCAGAAATGTATTTTGGGCCTAAACCATTCAGTGCTTTATAAACCAGCAGCAGTATTTTGAAATCTATTCTTTGACACACAGGAAGCCAGTGTAAAGACTTCAGAACAGGAGTGATGTGATCCACAACTGTCCCTCAAAAACTTTAGAGGGGGTGAGAAAGCATGACTCCACACAGGAGAGGACATTAAGATGTAAGGTGCCAAATGTCCACAAGCAGAATTATCTGTATGTAACTGAAAGGTGCCACAGCGAGGCAGACATAAACCTCTGTGAGCCTTGCAGGCCATCTGCCACGGCCAGATCTGAGAACCACATCTGACAGGCAATTAATAAGAGAGTGTCTTGCTGTGGTGGCCAACCTCTGTGGCATATGTCGCTCTGAAGACACTCGTTTATCTCGTCTTTTGTACCTGGACAAAACAGAAAGTAATGGTCTGGCTTTTATTGTTGCGTTCTCACCCTTAAGTCTATTAATTTACTCCGCAGTTATCATCTATAGATGAGAAGAAGTCTTTGGAAATTGTTGTTTGGAAGAAACAGGACGTGCTCAAGTCAATCAGCCTTAGGGTTCTCTTTGGGGATTTGGGTCTACAGAATATCCTTGATCCTGGACAAGGTTGTGGGGACAACTTGAGGATAGTTGGACAGATGATCCAGATGTTAGTGTGGCTGACGTAATTCTTTAAAAGGTCAAATTTAAGCAATTGCCAAATGCAGTTTTTTTGCTTCTTTGTCAAATGTGTAGCAAGAGGTCTTGTGCTGCACACACATTGAAGCCTTGCTGTAAGTATCACACTCCAGTCCACACCAAGGGTAAATATGGTGTTTTAAGTTTACA